TCGGGATCCTTGCTCTTAGCACCTGATCGGGGGACAAGGAGTTTACTGCATCACGGGATATAGAGACGAAGCAAGCTTAGCACCTGCATGCCCTCACTTGTGTCACTCGCGCATGCACTGAGCCCCGAACTGATCTCCTGCAAGATATCCAGCGTCAGATAGCCGGACTTGCCCCGAAGGGCTTCGTCCAACAAGACTTCTTGAAGCAGAGGGTGGTGACTCAGGATCGCCTTGAAGACCTTGGCAGCATTGGCCACAGTGCTCTTGGTCACAAAGACTTCGAGGGTGCTTTCCATGTCCTGCAGGTTCGAATTATACACATCGGCGATGGTCTCGTGGTCCTGCTGCCCGTGCTTCGCCTCATATCCTGCGCGGAAGTTCATGATCTGGTAGATCGTTTGCACGGGAGTGTTCGCGACGGCATCGTACGTGGCCATGGACAGCCAACGGCTGTTCAATGCCTTCCAGTAGACAGCGGTCTCGCAGGAGACCTCCTCGAAGCACATGGTCACAGTGAGGCAGAGTGTCCGCCAAGGCCTCCGTTCTCAAGATGATCATCACGCAGCACTACTGGGTAATACAATTGTGTCAATTGTGTTGATCGCTGCACAATCCGGTCTTACCCTGGGCACACATGCGACAGAAAAGATCGCTGCCAGGCCACAAGAGCTCGTCGTCAGAAGCATTGGCACGCACCAGCTGTGCAATGCGGCGCAGAATCGCAAACTCCACTTCTTCGGCCGAGCACCTATCCAGGTTGCCAAACTTCCTCTGCAAGTCCACAGCCTTCGTGCCCGGCTCGACAGGTATGACAGTCACATGCTTGTCCAGTCTCTTGGCAGTGGAGAAGTAAGCAGTCTTCAGCTGTTCCACTGCACGGTCCGAGACAGGAACTCCTTTGGACGCAGTAAGGCGATCGAGCTTCATCCAGAACAGGTTCCCGGCACACTGGTACTGCCCTGCTGTGGACATTGCTGCATCGAACAAGGCCGGATCGAATCTGGCCTCGAATGCATGGAAACACAGAAATTTGCTGGGAGCTAGAAGTGCTTCTATGCCAAGGCCGCACGCACTTATCCCACACAGCGCACACACACAGTGCATGCAGCCGCCACACACCTCACACCCGACACACACTTGCGCCTTGATTATACTTGCATGAACTTTCGACAGAGACATAGACAGAGAGAGAGAGAGAGAGAGAGAGAGAGAGAGAGAGAGAGAGAGAGAGAGAGAGAGAGAGAGAGAGAGAGAGAGAGAGAGAGAGAGAGAGAGGCCTGCTCCAAAAAAGCAGTTGGACCCGGGTATATAGGGTTATGTAGGAACGCAAACGAGCACACTCAGGAGAGAGAGAGAGAGAGAGAGAGAGAGAGAGAGAGAGAGAGAGAGAGAGAGAGAGAGAGAGAGAGAGAGAGAGAGAGAGAGAGAGAGAGAGAGATAGACTGACAGAAAAAAAGGCTCGCGCAGCTGGAGGACGCATGCAGGGCACAACAACGTTCACGCACACAGCGAGCTGAATACGCTTTGCCGCCCCGTCACCAACCGGCTCACTCGCAGATCTGCCCTGCTTGTTTCTAGCCCGGGACATCCGAGCCGGACCGGGGAAATCCCCCGTCTCTCTCAACAGCGAGGGGCGCCCCTCGCTGTTGAGAGAGACGGGGGATTTCCCCGGTCCGGCTCCGGTGTCCGCGCCGTTTCTCGGGGTGAGCGGGGTAACGGTTTACCCCGTGAAGGGTTCCCCGGGAACCGTGGGGTAAAAGTTTACCCCGCTATCCGCGAACCTGCTGGGGTAAAAGTCTACCCCAGCCCAGCAACTCCGGGGTAGCGGTTCACCCCGCCAATCCGCGGGGACTTCCGTCACCAATCCCGGGAACTGCGGGGTAAAAGTTTACCCCGCTAAGCCTGCGATCTAGGGTTTACCCCGCCAACCCTGGGGAACTGCGTGGTAAAAGTTTACCCCGCGAAGCCTGCGATCTAGGGTTTACCCCGCCAACCCTGGGGAACTGCGAGGTAAAAGTTTACCCCGCGAAGCCTGCGATCTAGGGCCTAGGGTTTACCCCGCCAACCCTGGGGAACTGCGAGGTAAAAGTTTACCCCGCGAAGCCTGCGATCTAGGGTTTACCCCGCGAACCCTCGGGAACTGCGGGGTAAAAGTTTACCCCGCGAAGCCTGCGATCCAGGGTTTACCCCGCCAACCCTGGGGAACTGCGGGGTAAAAGTTTACCCCGCGAAGCCTGCGATCTAGGGTTTACCCCGCGAGCCCTGGGGAACTGCGAGGTAAAAGTTTACCCTGCGAAGCCTGCGATCTAGGGCCTAGGGTTTACCCCGCCAACCTGGGGAACTGCGGGGTAAAAGTTTACCCCGCGAAGCCTGCGATCTAGGGTTTACCCCGCGAACCCTGGGGAACTGCGAGGTAAAAGTTTACCCCGCTAAGCCTGCGATCTAGGGTTTACCCCGCCAACCCTGGGGAACTGCGGGGTAAAAGTTTACCCCGCGAAGCCTGCGATCTAGGGTTTACCCCGCGAGCCCTGGGGAACTGCGAGGTAAAAGTTTACCCCGCGAAGCCTGCGATCTAGGGCCTAGGGTTTACCCCGCCAACCTGGGGAACTGCGGGGTAAAAGTTTACCCCGCGAAGCCTGCGATCTAGGGTTTACCCCGCGAACCCTGGGGAACTGCGAGGTAAAAGTTTACCCCGCTAAGCCTGCGATCTAGGGTTTACCCCGCCAACCCTGGGGAACTGCGGGGTAAAAGTTTACCCCGCGAAGCTGCCTGGAACGGTTCACCCCACCAATCCCGGGAAGCGCGGGGTAAAAGTTTACCCGGTTAAGCCCGTGATCCAGGGTTTACCCTGCCAATCCTTGGGAACTGCGGGGTCACGGTCTCCCCTGCCAACCTGGCCAACAACTCCGAAAACAGCGGGGTAACGGTTCACCCCGACAATCTCGGCAAGCAACCCTTTACCCCGCCAACTGGGACGCACCTAAGACCTTCATCAGTGGGCTTTTTCGGGCTTCAATTCCAGCTAAATCCCTCCCAGACGCAAGTCCAACGGATTTTAAATCCGTTGGACTTGTGTCTGGGAGGGCAGGGGCCGAGCATCATGTGCATCAGCGGGTCTTTTGGCGGTTTCAAACCTGCTCAAATTCGAGTCCAACGGATTTGAAAATCCGTTGGACTCGTACATGGGTGCGATTTGTTGCCGTTTTTTGGCCTCCAAGTGGAGTCCCAGTGCTAAGAAGTATGATTTGTTGCCGTTGGTTTGGCCTCGCAGCGGTGCCCAGTGCTACGAAGTGCGAGTTGTCGCCGATGTCTTTCGCATCCAAACAGTGCCCCAGTGCTAAGATCGGTGCTGGCGCCGTGCCCCACTCATTCCCTCATTCCCTGCTAAAGGCCGCCCAGACCAACCCCGTCAACCGCGGGGTAAAAGTTTACCCCGCCAGCCCCAGAAAGCGTGGGGTAAATTCTACCCCGCCAACCCGAAATTTGCGGGGTAAGGGTGTACCCCGCCAACCTCAAACACCGTGGAGAATAAGTCTCCCCCACCAACCCCAGGAACTGCGGGGTAGGCCCTCATGCTGGTTTGTCCTGTATCAAAGGGCTCGACACGGTGTTTTTTGTTTTTTGAACATAGTTGCGGTGCGCATTCTATATTAGTATTATTACTATTATTCAACAGACACGCACACACACACACACACACACATGTTCGAATGGACAATTGACACCACACACACACACGTATATATATATATATATATACACATTATATTATATAACGGACTCGAATGGACAATATCGAGATTCGGCGTCAGTCGGCAAACCAGCCACTTAACATCAGCTCCCCTGACACCGACCGGCAACAAGCCAGCAATATTCTATATTTTTGTAGAGGGAGGGAGAGAGAAAACCAAGACTGGGCGAGTGACCCGGACAGTCAATAAAAGCATCAATGTCAGCAGCAGGCAGTTGTAGCGTTCTAGACACTTGCATGCAAGCGTGCCGTGAAAGACATGACACATGACAGACAGGTCACCTGGTAGCCGGCTTCACTGGCACTCGCATCCGCACGGATCTCCAGTGGCTCTCTCGGTTCAGGATGTCCGAGAACAAATGGTGTGCCATAATGTCACTGAGATCCTGGGTGACTGCAGCCAGCAGCGAATCGTTTAGGTTCAGGGGTTCCGGCTGGATGTCGTAGTCCAGCTTCTTGGCTTCCGCTGCAGCTGCTGCCTGTTGATAGACAATGGGAAAACCAGGCAAATGACGCACAAGCAAGGCAATGCATGCACATCGCACACTGCCCGAACTGCCTTCGCTCGCGCGACTTTCTTCTTGGCTCCCATGGCCGAAATCGCAGACGGGTCGCTGTGAGGTTTCCGCAAACGAATTCCGAGAGGATCACTGCAGCAGGTAACTTCCGAACATATGTGCGACACAAACGAATTCCGAGAGGATCACTGCAGGTAACTTCCGAACATATGTGCGACAATCAGATGGCAACGGCTCTTCGCACACCGCTGCCTCCCTCGTCTGGCAGAGGCCGCCGACAAACCTCGATGCAAAAAAAAATTGGAATTTAATAAGTCTGGGGCTTTGAGGGCTTGGGGCTGACCTCGATGCGGCTGGAAGTCGTGATCTCGCGGATGAACCACGCAAGCTTCCCTGACAGCTTCGGTCCTATAGCAGGGTACCCCCAATGCACACGAGAAGGGCGCGGGAGGGAAAGGATAGGACCCGACTGGTCATGCGATTGGCGCTCGAGTCCCCGGAAGAAGCATAGGACGGCATACATGAACTACATGCGTCTAGCAGAGCTCTATACGCGCAGACTCTCCTCAGGCTGCGGCGCGCCCACCTGCAGCTTTGTACGCCTGCACAAGAATCATCAGATCTGCAGCAGGAAGAAGTGGAACTAGAAGTAGCTGTATCACAGTGCCCTGACCCAGATCGCCCACATTTCTGTCCTTCCCCCAGACTCTCACGGCGTGCTTGGAGTAAGTTCACTGTTTACAAAAGTTTCGCGACGCCGTCACCACCCTTTGGGAGATGAACGCGAAAAATGTCTCCAGCGAGAACACGTTCCGTGCATTCTCTCCGAGAAGTGCGACCGACTCTGGTGTTGTGAGCGCAATGCACTTCATCCCCTGATGGCGACGACTGAGGAAATCGTCCCATGACTGCAAGAGCCTCCACTTCGAATGCAGGGACTGGACAGACAAAGTGACCCAAAGAGTGACTTCCGGATTCTGCGCGCGAAAGTCTTCACTAATGTACAGCTTCCGCTGCACGGCGATAGCTGGGTCGTATGCAAAACACACTCCTTTGGCCCCTCCAGTTTTTACAAACTGCAAATCTACCGAATGACCGCCCATGAGAGCCAGAAGCCAAGCATTCTGCTCTCCAGGGTGTGCAGGGTTTTTTAGCACGAAGACCCGAGCGTGCATGCAGTCTCCCACAAGACGCTTGTCGGCCACACTCGGGAAACGCTGCCAGTCAGCATCCTCTAACCACATCGGCTGACCTTGGAGGTCGGGTAACCCGCGTGACATCAAGCTAAACTTCCGCTTCTCATTCCTCGCCTGGTCTCTCGACAGCTTGTCCATGTGATCCTTGTACGCCTGCGCCATCTGAAGGAGATCCACCGAGATCTCGCTCTCCAGGAGTGCGTTGTCCATGAAAGCTAGGAGCCGGTTTTTGAACTGTTTGCTCTGCTGAAACTCAATCTCAGACACTACAGCCTGTTTCCCCACGATGTCCTCTGCCACGAGCTCCTCCGCCTCTTGTGCCACTTGCTCAACGGAGACTTGCTCGGAGTCTGCTGCCACGGCTTCACGTCGAGTTTGCAGGAAGTGCCTCTCCGTGCCAGGCTTTCGCACGCGAAACCCCAGTGTCGATGCGATCCGCAGCACTGGATCGAGGAGCTCCGAACCATTCAGCCCAGACATGCCGGGCTGCATCGCAGACAGCATCTTTGTCAGTATGCTGAAAGTCGCTCATGACCTTGACTTCGGCGAACTCATTCGCAGGCGACATGTGATTCCGCGACGGCGTCAAGAATTGGCTCGCTTTGCTGAACAGCTGATCTACTCCGCTCGTGGTGGTGCCTGTCCAACAGGAATAACGGATGAGCAGACTTCGCAAGCATTCTGAGGGGTGGCGAACCCGAACTGCACGCTGGGTCGCGCTGGTTCTCTGGACTGCAGAAACCCACGCATCCAAGCTTGACAGCTTCTTTGCATGAGCCTCGTGCAGCGCAATGGCCTTGTGGTCCAGGAACTGACTGATAAGTCGCTCAGCATCCAAGTGCAAGGACTGCGCAAGACGCGTCAAGCACGCCTCCTCGCCAGTCTCCTCGTCTGCAGCCTGACTCGCCCCATCTCTCGAGAGAGAGAACACTTGGAACGCGGAGAGCAGAGCATAACTCGGATACTCGGACGGGCGCAGGCACGAGTCGATCAATGCATCGTCCACTGCATGCTCACCGCCAATGCACTTAGGACGCCCGCGGACCATGAACCCGTGCGGAGACCGCAGCCACTGCAGTACAAGCTCGGTGAAGCCGGCAGTTCGGACAACTGCGCCGGTGACAAACAAGTAGCGTAGGCGGCTCAGGTACTGCGATGTCGCTGACTGCAGCTCGGCTACATCGTGAGTCTCTCGATCAAAATGTCGCACCAGAAGCAGGCTTTCGTCTGCTGCGTCCGCGCACATTCCCAGGAGCACCAAGCGGGAGGGGTTGACCCACTCCAGGAAGTCAGCCGCAATTTCATGCTCACGATGGTTCAACTTCCTGTTTGCTGTAATCCAGACAGCTGTTTCGAAAAATGCGGAGATGCACATGACAAATCTAGTCAACGGTTTCTGGTAGGAGTCGAATCTGTGTCCTCGCCGTGATAGGTTTCGCACCCTGGTGCCCAGCAATGGGCAGCCCTCGGCTTTCTGAACGAATTCACCGAAGACCTGACCCAGGACATCCGAGTTCTGTATGACGTTGGTCAAACTGTCTGAATTCGAAACGACCAATGAGAAGGCTTCCTTGATTTCCTCAATGACTGCCCAAGGACGGGAGATGACTCGCCTGGCGGCGTGGGTCGGGTCCCTCAGCTTGCATTTCACATGCGGGAACATACCAGAGTCGCGAAGCAATTCCAGAGCAAGTTGTGCATCGGATGCACCATCGGCATCTAAAATCTCCACGCTTGACAGTATGTGTAGCAATAGCGGCTCATCCACGCCCTCGGATGTGGTGCAGAAGTCATTCAGGCCCTCTGTAAAGGCAGCGAGGGTGTCCGCTGCCGAGTGCGAACGCATGGGAGTGTAAACCAAGAGTCCGGAGCGTGTCTGCATGTCATGGTTCGTGGCTCTGTACCGGAACATGCAACGAAGCTTCCGGACATCTCCATGAAGCGAGATGCTGATTGCGGTTCGCAGGAAATTTTGCTCCTGGCGCACGATAGCAGTCGCCATGCATCCTAGCATCGAGCTGATCTTCCTGCGGCCCCCCACGCCTTCCACCCCATGTGTCAAAGCGTGTCCTGGTTTCCTGGTTTGACCAAGCAGAAACTGGGAGGCAGGGGGGGCTGCGATGTCGATGTTTTCCGAAGTCAATCCCATCTCATAAAGAGCGTTTTGATGTTTTTTGCAAGAGCTATGCCGTACCAGATTGTTGACGTGCACCACACCGAAAGGTTTGACCTGTGGGTCAGCCTGGCGACATACCCAGCAGTACAACTCCCAGTCGCCTGCATCATTGAGACCTGTCTTCAGATAGCTCACGGAACTTTCCAGGATACATGTGCGGCGTTCCCACTCGCTCCGATTGCGCAGCCAGAGACACATGCCGCAGGACTCATCTTCGCACTCCAGGAGGTGCGCCGCATCTGCAGAGAGCTCCCCAAACATCTTAGTCTTGCATGTTCGCCGCACCCTCCTGGACGACGAAGGCGCCGCATCCCTTGCAGTCTCGCCATCATCCAAGCGGCACGCGAACCCCGGAATCATTACTACGCTGTTTGCCTGAAGTTCTGTCACGCAAAAGTGCTTCGACTCTCAAGTGATTCCCCGCGCAAAACAAAAACCTCTGAGCCATCATGTTTGCAGAGCCAGTCCCTACAACTAGGACTGTTCTGGTAGAGTGTTGGAAGGAATTGAACTCGGTCGAATTCTTAGAAGAACCCTAACCCGAATTTGAGACAGTAAGCTGAAACGGCCTAAACCCGGTTTACCCATGCGAGCGAATGATTTCCAACCCACAGACAACCTCAAGTGGGTTTGGGATTGGGTGTTCTTGAGAGCGCTCGCGTGACTCTGCATGTGCCCCTTGCGCGACAAGAAGACTAAACTAACTGGCTGACGAGCGGTATTCCAGCCTCGCGCAGAATTTGGTGGACGGCAGACCACTGCTGCCAACCTCGGCGGAAGGATGAAGGAATAAGAGCCAGAAAATAGTAACTAAGCCACACTAGGTACGTTGGCAGCCAGTCGGGGCATGATGCAAGCTGAACGACTGCGCGGCTGTGCGAATCATGCTCACAGGCCATCCCCCCAACACAGAATTTCCAGGGCTCCAGGGCCCATGCTCACAGACAGGTGCTCCGAGCCTGCGTGAACCAGGCAGAAGGGACGGGGGCCTACGGGTTCGGGACGGCTCGCACAGACGCGCACTCAGTTGCAGAGCACTCATGCCTACCGCAAAGCAATGAAGTGTGGCCAGACTGTTACGACGCAAGCCAACAGGGGCTACTCAAATACACCTTTTAATCACAGCACCTCAGTCGACTGAATCTGAACGTGCCATAACCGAGCCGGCATGCCCGCAGCTTCAAAAGAGAAACAAAAACCAAACGCCCCCAAAGCACATGACCCTTTCAGACCAAGACCTGCTGATGCAAAGCTGGCTTAGCTGCCAAAATGACCGCACTCAGCATTCACTCAGCCAGCCAATGCACTCAGAACACGAGTCAGCTGCTCTTGAATCACATCCAGACGAGCCTCTACGCCGTTGCACCGCTCTTGCAAATAATGCCGTAGTGCCGCCACCTCCTGCCGCGAAGCCACTGGCCCGGAAGGACGATGTCTCGGAGAGCGACTCCGAGCCGATGCGCCTCTATCACGAGGCTCGACCTCAAGGCCCGCCGCCCTAAGAGCGTCGTCATCTGACACCGATTCTCCCAACGAAGGAGAGCGCGTAGACTGAGCCATCGCCAATAAGGAATGGCGGCAAGCCTCGGCATTCAATTCTCTGTTCCCGAAGCCTCCGCCGCCACTTCAATGTCGCGCTAGAACTGATCCAGATCGACTGGCCCAGAATCGACCTCCCTGCAAGTCGTTCAAGTTTTCTAAGAACCAGCTGCAGATGGAACCACGCGGCGGCCATGATGCCCTCTGAAAACTGAGCAGAGAAAAATCCTAGTTTGCACCACCAGTAGGCAGCAATGCTGTGCGCAGAGCGAGCTGAGTCAAAATGCAAAGGCAGAAAATTGCAAATGCAAGCGCAGACTGAGGGCTCCAAGAAAATGTCCCCGAAGTCTCCGGCTCTGCCAAAGGATCTTCGCCAACACTAACAGGTTTTGTCGCAGAACCTAGACTGCTGTGTGCATGTACAAAAGGTATCGACAGGCGTATGACCTCAGCCGCCAGCTGAAGCAATCGCTTAATGTTGCAGCTTATGCTGTAAGCAAGAGAATTTGCATAAGCTTCAACAGTCTGAGCCGGCTGGTCGCTGCAGCGGAAGTGGATTCAGCAGCAGTCACAAGCCAAGAGCACGACTACTAGCATCCGTTGGAATATGAGGGAATACAAACACGGGGGCCCCAAAAAACAAAGGGAAAGCGAAACGGATTGTATTTATAAAACAGGATCGAGTAAACACGATAACCGAAACCAGCTGAAGACACCCTCGGGTACGAAACCAGCTGAAGACACCCTTCAAAACCCCACCGAACCGAACAACCACCAAAAAAAAACACCGAAAACCAGCTGAAGACACCTTTGGGCGCCAAAAAGTGACTTCCGGAGCGGCCTCTTCTCTGGCCTCCGACATCTGCTGCCGCCACCTCAGAAATCAGAAACACAGCGACGTGCTCTATCGGTGCTCTTTGCGAAGTGCAGTGAGTCACGCTTCTGACACATGCTGCACGCGGCACGCACACGTATACATGCTGCACGCAGACGCCTTATGAGCTCGAGCCTTGGGAGGGCTCGACTTAGAGCCTTGTCAGGGATGCAAGGATGGCAAGCAGCACAGGCCGAACAACAGACAGCAGACAATACAGCGCAAAGCAGGCAGCACACGACCCAGACCCAGAGCCATGCCGTGGATCTGGAGTGACGCCCAAAACAAGTACGTTTGGGCGCGGAACCCGGCCCAGGCCGACAGGGAGCAGAACAACCGCAACAACCTCCACAACGAGCTGCAGCGGCTGAGAGAGAACGAGGTAAGCTCTGCAGAACGTCGAACTGCGATCGGAGCTGCAGCAAGTGTTGTCCCTGAACCGTATATGGTGCGAGCGGCACGAGGCCTGGAACCATGCGTGTTTGGATGATTCTGCCTCCGCCCAAAGCACTCCAGGAGACTGAAGCCGCCCAGAAGAACCGCCAGGCTGATTGGGGCCCAGCAGATGAGAGGTTGTCTTTGTTTCATTATGCTTGCCAGGCACGCCTCATGCGGACGACCATGGAGATGGAATCAGAGAGGTGTCTAGCTCAGGCCGGATGGAATGAGAGGGTTATGTCATTTTGCTAGCTAGACTCAATTGCCTTGCAGGCCCGCCAGGAGGAGCTGCAGAAGGCGGAGTCAGAGGCTCGGACCGTAGAATCAAACAAGATCAAGTGAAGAAAGCTGTGGCTTCGGTTGCTAAGGCTTCTGCTGCATCCGAAAGGGTTACTGCAGCTGCAGAGGCTAGAGAGAATGGGAGGATCCTTGGTAAATGCAGCTCCTGTTTGTTTCATTGGCAGGAGGAGCTCCAGCTTCAAAAGCATGCCCTCTCGGAGATGCAGGCTGCTGTTATAGTTCAGGGCAGCAAGGCAGCAACACGAAGATGTGCACCTGGCCCTTGTTCTCTGCTTTGCAAGGATAAGCTGCAACGAGAAGAAGTTGCAAAATTGAAAGCGGAGGCCATCTTCGATTCACTCAGAAACTCCTCTTACTGCTTGTTTCCTGCAGGCAGACGGCAAAGAACGGGCACTGGAAGCTCATCAGGTCAGACAAGCGTACAAGCGATGCCCGCCAAAATTCTGTGTCGCGCTTGGCAGGCGAGACTTGAAGCAGAGCAAAAGAAGGACAGGAGCATCAGATTTTGGTACGGGAAGGCTGGGTGCACTCGCGACTTGATTGGTCACTGCAGCAACGACAGCAGAAGATTCTTGCAGGCTGAAGCAGAGCAAGCGCAGCGAGATGAGCAGGCTGCGCAGAAGTAACGACAACTCTCGCTTGTTTGAACACACTCACACACACACACACCCCACACCCGCACTAAGTCTCTAAGTCTGAGACAATTGATTTGATAAAGGGGCAGCGACGAATGGTTTTCTTGGAAAGTGAAAAGGCCATGCCAGCAATACACCCCCAAACCCTAAACCCAAACCGTGTTGCAGGCTGCGCTACGTGTTGACCTAGATGCATTGCAGGAGCAGGCAAGTGGTCACTGGTCAAAACAATCCATTCACCAAGCCTCAGACTTTCGATCCAGGACCAGAAGCGACGTCGCCAGGCGGATGGCCTGCATGGGGAGCTGCGCAGATTAGATTGGAATGTCGCCTTCGATTGTGTCTGCTGCTCAGGAATATCAGGAACTGCTGACTTCAAGGGCACAGGACACAAACATGCCGTTTTCTTGCTGTGAATCACAAGCCGTACCGCATGGAGGACATCATGAGCGCTGAATCTGCACAGCAGGCCCTGGCACAGATGTGCATGTCCCAAGCGCTGTATGCGGCCGGCCTGGCACTGACAGATTGAGGAGCTTCGTCGGTACCTGGAATCAGATGCCCAGCTTCGGCAAGAGCTTGCTGCTCGTGAGGCTTGGCACGTTGTCGCGACAGTCTGCCAAGGCTACGTGTTGGCTATAAGTTTCTTGCGTTTGCCAAACAGGCGGCCATGCGTGCTGCTGAGGACAGTGGCATTTCGAGCGCTTTTGTTCCCATCAAAAACCAAAGCTCTGAACACTGAGGAGAGCGCTGCCAGCAGTCACCAGATGCTGTGCTCCTACGAGGACAACGGAATGCCGAGTGGTTCCTTTGGGGCGCATCAGGAACGAACCATTAAGAACTAACTCATTGTCATCAGGATGAAGCTGAGCAGCAACTGCAGGGGTACAAGGACTGACAAGTTCATACTACAGCAGAAGTTGAGATTCTGCACATGCTGGGAGGACCAGGTGTTGCACCTCGAGATGCTTGCAGCCCATCAGGCACCATGTACTTCTGTTTGAGGTCTGATTGAGCTCACTTCTGAAGCCCTTGTCTCTGTACTCTGGCTGTACTCTGGACTTAGTGCCAGGCGGTGGCGAGCTCGCCGAGCAAGGACGTTCAGGCACACACACCTGCTAGCTTGTATTGAAACTGCTGAGAGCTGACAAAACATGAAGTTTGACTGTAGATGGCAGCCGACGAGCCCAAGAAACCCGAGGCGTCCGTCCTTCACTTCCCTCCCTCCCTCCTCTCTCCATCGCTCATTCACTCATTGGCAGGCAGAAAGCCCCGAGATGGAGCCGACCGAGGTGCCCACCAGCCCGGCAGACGAGCCGCGACGGAGGCCCTTGCGCAACGTTCAACATACGTGCAGTTTGATAAAAACTACTCATGTGACGCAGGTGATCTGCGCACTGAGCGATCGCACACCCTGCTGCTCTGAAAAACCGTGAGTGATCCTGCTTCAATGCATTGACTGAACACGACCTCCT